TATAATATAATATAATATAATATAATATAATATAATATAATATAATAAATACAGATAGTTCTCATCTTACAACAGTTCGTTTAATGACCATTCAAAGTTACAATGGCATTGAAAAATATGACAGTACAGTTTTTTACAGTTACGAACAGTGGTGGGATTCAAATTTTTTACTAACGGTTCTGTGGGCGTGGCTTGGTGGGCATGGCAGGGGAAGGTTACTGCAAAATCCCATTCCCTCCCCACTCCTGGGGAAAGGTTACTGCAAAATCTCATCCCTTCCCACCCCACTAACCCAGCTTCATTCTCCTGTGCAGGGCAACAAAAGAAGACCCAGTTGATCAGCTAGGACTCGGGAGGCAGAGAATAAATGGGGCGGGGCCAGTCAGAGGGGGTATTTGCCGGTTCTCTGAACTACTCAAAATTTCTGCTACCGGTTTTTCAAAACTGGTCAGAACCTGCTGAATACCACCTCTGGTTATGACCTTTGCAGTAACGCCATGATCACGTGATCAAAATTCAGATGCTTGGCAATTGGCTCATATTCATGACCATTGCTGTGTCCCAAGGTCAGGGGATCCCCTTCTGACAAGCAAAGTCAATGGGGAAGCCAGATTTACTTAACAAGCGGGTTACTAGCCTACCAACTGTAGTGATTCAGTTAACAACTTGGCAAGAAAGGTGGCAAAATGGGGCAAAACTCACTTAACAAATGTCTCCCTTAGCAACAGAAATTTTGGGCTCAATTGTGATCGTAAGTTGAGGACTACCTCTGGCATGTTGTGCTAAATCACTTATATCAAAATTTAGTAGTTTTCATTACTGGCAAAAATTAATTAAATTGTAGCATGTAGAAGGGCACAAGGTAGCCGAATAAAGACAACTTAAATGATATTAACTCCCACCATAATCAACATGAATGAAACACATTTAACTTGGGCTGGTTTATGCCCCCTAATGAGAGAATGATTTTCTCTTGTGTACAAATCTGTTCATATCATTCCATGGTTATAGAAACAAAACTTCTGGGGAAAAAAAAGTAGAAACAGCTTCCTTACATTTAGGAACCCCACCTGTCCAGCCTGCTGACCAGCGTCCGGGCAGACAAGTTGGACAAACTCTTTCAGAGTCTCCTGAGGATGATAGCGAATTGCTGGGTGTGAGAAGTATGGCCCAGGCTGTTGAATAATGGGTGATGTTGGAAAATGAAGAGTCGATGGTGTTGCGTGTGGACTTGCTATAAGAAAAAAAAAAGCAAAATACATTATAAAGAATAGATTTTTGGAATCTGATAAAAAACAAATTATCTGATTTTGTGCTTTTTTAATACTGCTTTATTATGCAACCTTAAAACAAGTTTTCTGAAATGCAAGTGTCCTAAAGTACAGAGCTGATGTCTGGTAGTGATTTTTATAATATGTCAGGTCATACTAAATTCTACTTTACTTCAAGTATAAAGGCAGAGTGTAAATATAGCCAGATTTTAAAATGTCTCTTCTGCATTTTTAGTGGTCATCATTTATAAAGGAATCAGCAGTCCTTGGTAAAAGTGACGACTATTCATTACCTTAAGAGCCTTTCTAATGAATCCAGCAATAAAAAATGTATCTGGGAGATTACAGTTGATTTAATTGACATTCTGCATAATTCTGGTTTGCACATGGGGAGCAGTTTTACTTTGAGCTATAAAGCAGCTTTATTTATGTCACTTTTCAGGTCAGCAGCGGAATATTATTTTTATATAATTTCCATTCTTGTACCCCAAACATTTGGATTTTATCTCTTATGAGTGAAAATCGAATAAACGTGTCCCTAAATAACTTTTAGGAATACTGCTTCAAGGGGGATAAAGTGTATTCATATATTGAGAAATCTGTGATTGCAACATAGAAAGCAACCCAGGAGCTGTTTTGAATTACCCCAAGGCAAAAAACAAAAACAAAAACAGGACAGCAAAGGTGTTTGATGTCAATTATGAATTTTGAAAGGGAAACTTAAATACTCTTAAAGTCCCAGCAATGCCATTGAATGGCCTAATACCGGACCTAACACTGGGCCATATGTAATAAGAAAAGTGTCTTCGGGTCCAAATCAGTCTCTCCCTTTGAAGTACTTCATTTCTGATGTGATCCATGCTTGGGAATGATTAGCAATGAATTAGGTCCCTTCTGTAACCATCCCTGTACTATAAATCAGTTACTCTCTTCCCATCTGATCTCATCATGAGAGGATTGAAGGTGTCTGCAGAAAAGGAAAGGAACCCCCAACAGAAACTTGATGAACCTGTAGCTCAGCCAAACAAACTAAGACATTTGCTACAAGGCAACTTCTCATTTCCAAGTTTAAACATTCGTTAGAAAGACAAGGATTTAACAAAAATCAACTTTTGCCAAAAGAACCTAAGGTTCCATATAGACAACACACAGTTAAAAAGAGATAAATACAAAGCAAAACCATAACACAGTTCTAACTCTAGCCAAGCAACTCGATTTTCAAACAAGTTAGCTAAATCTTTATCCAAAACAAAACAAAAAAACCTCTCCACCTCTCTCTAAGTATCAATAGCTGATCTGTCCACAACAAGGCTACTTTTTGTTAGCATCAGTAATGTTGCGCCTTGAATAATTTGGAAATGTAATTTATTCAAAATGAAAACAATACCTTAATAAAGGTGATACAATACTTTTTCATTTGTTGCACTCTTAAGCTGAGGTCTTTGGATTTTGCTGCTGCATTTCATTTTAGCACACTGTCATCGTACAAGCCTATTACATTTATACAAAATGATTTAGTTCCATTTATTTCCAAAATATACAGTCATCCTCTCCCAGCCAGCTTGATTAAACTTTTATGGCTATCTATGTCCATACACTGCATTTGTAAACCAGAGAGAACAATAAAAGTTGTGAAAGTTATTGTACATTCAAAGAAATGTATTGAATTAGGTTCAAAGTGTGCTGAATATTCAGGAGGAGATACTAAGACAACCTAGTGGTGAACAGCAAAGGTTGAATGAACAAAATTAGGAGATATAAATACTGTACATTGTCTTTCACTGATATTATAAGAGAAGTTTAATGAAATTTCTGTAAAGACCAAATTTCTTGCATTGAATTCTACACTACCTGGTATAAGTGATAGCGGGTGGGGCACTGATGGAAAGTAGGATAAGTTATACACTTCGGTGGAGCCCTAGTTAATATAGATGGGTGGAGCAAAGGTTTTCTATTTTTGTTTAGATGCAAACATTTTCTAATGTATATTAAGCCTCTCATTATAATTATATGTTTGCATCTTTAAAATTATTCTTGAGAAAATCTATCTGTATGGTCAACATGATGGCACATAATCAGTCATTATCAAGAAGGAAGCCCTTCCAATTCAATTTACATATTCTATTTTGAACAAATGACATCTGATGCTCAGATCTATTTTGCATTAATCTTATGTCTTCTAATTTTGAACTAAATAATTGTTTCATTCCCATGATTGATGACAACCAATTATATGCTGTCAAGTGACCATGCAGATAGATTTTCTCAAGAATGATTTGTCCCCAACTTGTTCCTTTAGGTCAGAGCTGTGAAACTCACAGCCTATGGGACAAATGCATCACGTGCTGGCCATGCCCCCACCCAGTATAGTGAAGGGGGGAAGTCCCAATATGTCACATGATGCCGCCATGATGCTGCGAGTTTGACACCTCTGCTTTAGGTCTTCCAACAATCCATCCATTGCCACTGTAACTGAATCCATTCACCTTGCTGCAGCTGCTTTGATTTGAAGTAGGATAACTTGAGCCTGGTTGTTTGTACCTGGTTGGTTGTTTTCTTGGCTATTCATGATATTCTCAGGAGTCTTCCCCAATATCAGAGTTCAAAAGTAGCAATACTCTCTTTCTATCCTATTTCTTCAAAGTCCACTATATGCAAATAGTCTTCATCATAAACTACCACTAATTACCAGTTTATTACTTAAAGGGATGGTTAAGTTGTAAGTCATGTTCTGGGAACATCCTTTCCCCCTTTCTGAGGCTGGGATACTTATTGTTTAGTTTCCTGCCTTGGAAGCTGGGGAAGGTAATAAAAAATCTCAGACAAAGGTAGAGAAATGCACACATTCCTCTTTCACCATTCTCCCGTCAGGCTGCTGAGTTACAAGACTTGAAGTATGTGGACATGTGTTTTGGAGTATTTTGACTAGAACATCACTTAGCAAAACTTGAAACTTTTATAAAGGAAGGTGATTATCAAAGAATAAAAATATATGTTAGAATGAATCCAAAATTAATGTATACAAAATACGCTTCAAGTTGCTCTAGCTCAAACTCGATTTCATTGAGGGCTGCATCAGGATTGTTTGACTTTGGGGGGCTGGGGTTGGCTTGGCCAGCTTGATGTCACTTATGTCAGGGATGCCTGTAGTGGCCTGAGCAAAAACTGGCTCCTGAGCTCTGTTTCGGCTGTGATGGCTTCCTCCAACCCACTGCCAGTGAAAATGGAGCTCAAGAGGGTGGCATGCAGATCTCCCGAGCTCCATTTTCCTTGGCAGAGGCACTGCAGGCTGGTCCTTTGCTGTTTCCAGAATGGCTCTGCAGGCCAGATGTAAGCACCCCATGGGCCGGATCCAATCCCCAGGCCTTGAGTTTGACACCCCTGCTCTATCCCTATTTAATTCTTACCAGCCTGAACATAAAATAGAGAACTTAAAGCAAGTATGCTGTTTTCTTTTTCTTCTTTCCAATGTTCTTCTCATGTTATGTTCTGCATAACATAATTTCTCGAGTTAGCACAATCTGTCTATGTTTCTGTGGCAGATTTGATACCATATTTTATTTGGTAATAATTATAAAAGGTTTAAATACTTTGAAGAGCTATTAAGGATAGTGAATTAATCCTTCCTTCCTCCCTCCCTGCCTGCCTGCCTTCCCCTCTCTGTAACTATGGGATCTACAAACCATTTGCCAAAATAAAAAATAAGACAATGTAGATTTTTCACAAATATTGATACAGTAACAACTTCTCAGACTAAAATAACTAAGCATTTCTGCTAATTAATAGTGATCTTTGCTTGTCCCCAGAAATAAAGCATATCATAAGTCCAAACATTTATAAAACTTCCTCCCCTGTTCTAGATGTTTAGATGACCACTGTCTCAATCGGAGTTGGGGAAAAATGAGTAAGATTAATGTTTTAATGTATATTTACTGAGATCACCAAAACACATTTTGAGACCTTCCAAGTGTGCATCATAGAATTTCCAAGAAGCAATGGGCCAATGACTATGTTAGGTAGGATATATCACAATTTTGATCCCTATATATTTAGAAGGCAGCAAGTTAGGAAAGGATGCTTATTTCCCAACTGATTGCCACTAAGCACTTTAGATATTTAAACCTTTTCTTTTTGCCGAGTTTGACAATCACAATGCTGATGTATCTATTGTAATATGTTACTGCATAAGAGAAAGTAGAAAGATTAAAGTTAGCATGCTGGAAGGTAAAATCCCCAGCACTAGTATCCAAGGAATCACACCCCAAATTTTGAATAAGGTATTGTTAATTTTAATGAGAACTAATAAATGGTCCAGTTGTTCTGCTCCAAGGTTTATAACTTCCTTCCTGAAATTTATTCATTGAAACCAACTGTGGCTCCACAATCATCAGGATTTCAACCAATTTAATTCTCTTTTCTTTGTTTGTCCAGCAAACCTTCACACAGATAAAGGGAGTGTTTTACTAGCCTCTCAGTCCATGCCATGATTTCCTCCCTTCAGGCTGTGAGCTTTATAATAATTTCAGCAGCATGCTGAAGGCAGATTGGAAAAGATGCAGATGATGAAGTCAAGTCAAAAACAAATCTCTTTTCAGACTATCATACCTTAGTGAATAGCGTTTAAGTGAAACAGACACTTGCTGCCATAATTTGGTGACAGATATTATTGCCCAATTTTAGTTGTAATGCAAGTGATCACCCCAAGAGTTGCCAGAATATCATGGAGCCAGTGAGTAGCCTACTCCTGATTCTTTAACTTTTCTCCCCATTGTTTACAAACAGCTACCTATCCACATGTTTCTTCTATCTCTTCAACTGTGTTGCTTATTTAAATAATTAGGAAAAAAACTATGAAGTCATTGTTAAGTCAGCTATGTTGGCTTTCTAGAAGCATAATTTCTTAGTCTGCAAAATTGTTTAGTAATCCAATGACAATTGAGGTATACTGGAAAAGGATTTAGGG